TGTGTGGTGTGTGATATCAATTGGTGTTTTTGGATTCATTGTGTTTACCTGTCGTTTTCGTACCTTGTTGTTATTGCCTAATTTTGTTAAAATTTTCGTCGTGATTACTTCTGAAGTTGTGTCCACTCTTCTACATCCATGAATGAATTGATTGATGTTAAGTACAGCAGATGGAGCGTATACGCCGGGGAGGCTAGGCTATTGCTGAGAATGAAATGCACACGGAGATAATTGTTAGCTGCGGTCCGACACGCCGGGGAGAAAGAGTGTAAACGACTGAGGCTCGCATGCGTCACCGCTACTAGAACTGAAGCAGAATGAGTGACAAGCGATTGCAGTGGTAATTGGTAGTGAGTAGATAAGAGGATGTGCGAAGAGTATCATGAGGTGCTGCTATGGTCACGTTGCATTCTGCAAGAGTCATTCTAGCAAGTGGCGATTGTGTTGCAAGATGTCAAGAGGAGGTCTCTGTCTGGAGGCGCAGGTCGTCATCGATGTGTGAGATTGTGCTGTGGGTATGCTTGTGGTGTGTTGGCTTTTCTGTTTGTTTTCCATTTCAGCTCTGTCCGTGTGACCCAGGTTCTCGCAATGGCATCCAAGTCAACGTGTATTGGTCGTGAAGGAAAAAAGGGTTGGATCCGTATTTTGCCGGGGAGTGTCAATGGAGTTGAAGATTGAACGATCAATTCTTGGTTGTTTGCTCAAAATCAACTTCCCCAATTTTCGCGGAGGCATCAATACGACAGTCATCGTCTCATCGGTCGCTGTTCAGAAAGAAGTCAGCAGTAAACCATCAGAAGTAATCTTGTGATATATTATTGTAATATTTGTTCACAGAACTTAGTAGAAATATTTTTTATATGTTGGTGTTACAATAAGGAATTCCAAAGCGGCCAATCGGTGTTTTGGATTTTGCGTCCGTTATTACTAAGCGTTTCTGAAAACGTCAAGGAACAGCGTGAGCCCGAGCGTAGCAAGAGCTGGGCATTAACGGTTTACGAGACGTGACTAACACTCTCTTCTTCTGCACAAAGTGCGGTGTCGTCTGTGACACTCCATTCAACAATGGCTTACCAGTTGCAACTACAGGCTTCTTGACCGCACCTTTATCCTCACACGGCTCGGAGTCAGATCTTGATTTCACATTTAGCTTACCACTAAACTTGCTTACTTCTTCACAGTTCGCCTTTGTGTGCACTTCTTGCAGACGTGTAAAACACAACCGTGTTTGTCTCGCAATTTGTAACCCATCTGTTGGGGATGTCCCACGAAAGCTGTTACACTCACCAAGTTTGTACGGATCACTAGACAATATAAAGATTTCTCGATATCCGCTTCTCTGAGACCCTTTCGTCATAAGTGATTGCGTTTTGCTCTCAGGCTGCTCCATTCTAGGGGTGGGGTGCGACATACTGGCAAACTTGCTCATAGCTTGATTGACACTATCTTTTACCAGTTTCAGAATATCATCAAACCTTGGCTCAGTACCTTCATCCTCTGTACGAGAGCTTATCTTCATCCACTTCCTTTGCAGTCGAGTAAGTAGGCGTCTCGCTATTACCTCTGGGACGGAACTTGAGTTTAGATCACTCATACAATTAATCGAAATCAACGTATTCTTGTAAGTCATCGGATTATCCTAAAACGCAGTGAGTGCCTTTGAGTCATCTCGTAATTGACTACCATTTCCTTTAACAGCCTCGAATACGTTCCTTACAATCATCGAAGGTTTTCCGAATCTTTGACGCAGTATACTCATAGCCTCAGAGTATCCTTCGTTAGGGTGCATGAACTTACAGCACTGTATCGCTCTTGAAGCAACTCCAGTGCAGTACCTCATCAAATACATCAACTTCATTTCATCATTTGATAAAAAACTACTCAACATGATTTCAAACTCCTTTACAAACTGTGGATGGTCAGCTGGGTTTCCGTCGAAACACCGAGGTTCAAATTTAGGCCTATTTTCCCCAGACTGCGAAACATGAACAACAGACTCATCATGCTGAGCATCATACATAACATTACATGTAACAGATAACTCAACATTACTTACTTTCCCGCTTGCTTCCAAGACGCTTTGTCCCTCCTTTGACCCAGGCATCATTGAACTTGATCAAAAATTCCAGAAACGTTCCAGATAATACTTGTCCAAATATGACTTGCAGGCACCAGGAAAGACGAACAGAAACTATCCAAACACTATTAGAACCTGTCAGCGAAGTCTCATAAACTATCACTGTCCAGCCCTTGCTATGCTGGACCTCACGCTGTCCCTCGAAGACTTTCAGAAACGCTTTGTATTAACCACTCGAAAAACAGAACACTGATTGGCGACTCAAGAATCCTCTATTCTTACGCCAACATATAACCAACAATCAGGTTATTACACACAAGGTCTAAGAACAAATGTTGTATAAATACATCACGCTAATACTTCTGATAGTTTTCTATCTTCCTCTGAACAGCGAATGATGAGACGATGACGGCCGGATTGATGACACTCGCGAAAAAATGGGGAAGTTGGGTTTGAGCAGACAACCATGAATTGATCTTTGTCTCTTCAACTGCATTGACAAATATTATCGGGTTTTTTTGATTTTGGCATTTTTTTGTAGACCTTGTTCATATTATTTTTTTTACTTGTATGCGTAATAGTCAAGCTTTTCGGAGTCGCCAATCTGTGTTGTGTTTTTCCACATTGGATTTTAGAAATTGTTTCTGAAATTCTTCGTCTTACAGCGTGAGTTCTAGCGTAGTAATGGCTGGACACTAATAGTTTATGTGAGTTGGGTGACAGTATGTTTGCTAAATAACAGTGTGTAACAGGTAGAAACTCTTGGTATCGACCCACTTTGGATGAGACGACTCAGAATTAATCTGATATTCTTCTTTAAATCCCTGTATAAAATATCATTCTCAGACCGCAAGGAGATACATTCCTCACCGGAAGGCTCCTACAACCTGCGTAACCAAAAGTGCACAGTTTGTAGGAAAAGCTGTAAAACTGCGCTCCTTCATATTAATGTATCCTAAGATCTGGAACAATTTTACCCCTAGAAATAAAAAAACTGACACTCCATCATAGCCTTCAAACTCTTGCTTTATAAACTGTTTAATCCCGATGACTATCCTCACCACACCCACCGCTTATTTCTAAATCGCATCAGTTATTAGACCACTATAACGCTTAGACTCATTAATATTTATATATATTATGACACTAAATAAACTCTAAGACTTCGTATAAATGCATGAAAACACAACTACAATATGGGTAAGTGTTTACTATATTATGTTTTACAATTCACATAGACATTTATATATGCATATAACATTAATGTTATTTTCATGTCCACATACATTCTCTTTCGGTTATTCTGCTGCTGCACCTACTTTCCTATTTACCTTCTGGTCGAGGTCGAACAACTCTCCGTTTAAACTGAAATGAAGCTGAACTCCAAGCCGTTTAACTCATAACCGCTCAAATTACATGAACGATCCAGTGGTACCATTTGAAGACGCTGGCCAACATTATGTACGGGGAGTATTTATGATCTGAAATAAGGAAGCAACTCGTTTTCAAACGGTTTTCAATATTTTACTGAACTTACGTGTACGGTCTATCATGCACACACAGATGGTGTCAATGGAGAAATCTGGAATTGACCTCGGCCCAATTTGATGCAGTAAAACAATCCAACATAACTTTATCTAGTTTTCGCATCCACGATCAAATTTATTTCCTGTTATAAAACTACGATAAGACTGCTGAAAAAATGGAATTTGGTGTGAGCGAATCGCATGCCAAATATTCGCAGATTGCAGCTCAAGGCGTTCAGAAAACTGCTTTTGGTCAGCGTCTCCACTTAGAAGGACCATATCATCTGCATATTCTAAATATACGAGATTATTCCTTGGAGCAAGTCATTCCCTGAGTAGGTTGAGGGCATTCAGCTAACTGTCGCCACCGTTCCCAGCTAACAGTGGGGTCAAACAGGGTTTCCTAATCTCCCCACACGCGTCAACATGACCTACCTCTAGCACTGTCGACCTAGATATATAAGATCGGGTTTACAACTCTTAGGTTCGCGAAGTTCAGCTATACTAATGTCGAATCTGGCGTGTCCGAGAAGGAGAGTCCCGGTAAATCCACGTATTCGCCCATCGAAGTCTCAGTGGAATTGCTGGCGTTGAACCACGTCATCATGTGAATTCCTCAAGTTCTTGAGCTTGTGTTTACACATAATGGAGACTGGCAAACACCGAGTCATCTATAAACATCAGATCCGGTGGATTGCATATGTGATACAAAGGCCAATTCAGAGGATACCGAACCAGCCCAGGTTCTCTAGCAATGGGAAGAGTAAGGGAAAGAGAGAAGATTTGATCAGCAAAAGGAGGGATATCGTTGGATGATGGTTACTTGCCTCGAATTAGCATGAATGGTAAATCACGACTCCCTGGTTCGGTTCTGAGAGATAACTCGAGTTGGTGGTTCGAAACATTATCAAATATGATCAACGATATAAATGAATGGCAAACATGAAATTCTCTCCTTTCTTCCCCTTCTGACGGTAGTATGACGAATGTTTGCAAACTCTAACCAATTCTTCCCATTAATTAATTTGAGTAAAGCAAGAAAGACAAATGTGACAAGACATAATCTCAGGTTCTTCGGTATATGCTCAGAGATGCAAACAATAACTCTCCTCCTTGTGCCAAAGCACACTTTAGCACGTACGTGTAAATTGGTAGACGCATTGAAGGCAAGACGGAGTGAGAGTTTGTCCACATTTGACTGTCCCGAACAAAAGGTGGTTTCATAAACACACATAAGCTTGGTGGCCAGATATGTTCTTTTCCGGGTAGCGTTCAGTTTGCATTTTACTCTACTGACAGCATTGTCAGCCTTGACGGTAATAATATAATATAATAATATATCGTAGAAACGATATTGGATACTGGATATTGGAGATCGATTTGGTTTACTCAAGGTCTAGGTCGTTGTAACGTCATTGAACATAAGGGTTTGTTTGTCTGGGTCATAGGGTAGTCATTCAGAGAATGAAGCTTGTGAGGTGAGTTGTTTTGTTTTCCACGTTTAGAATTAGGATTATGGTTGATTTAGTAGAAATGTTTGCGCTGGATGCGTAGTTATCTGTGTGGTTCAATGAACATATTCAGATATGTTGTATTTTCCTAACGGTTGTCTGCTAGCTGACGCCCGTTTGCAATATTGCATAGGGCATGTGTCGTATGATTTTATAAACATGTTAACATAGATAATACAGTGAAAAGACTTAATTTGTCTGAATCGTGTAATGTATCCGCGCAACACATTTGGAATAATCTAATCACACACGGATTTGTCATAGGGATATATATGACATTAATAAAGAGGTAAGAGGTTAAAAATAGACTCAGTGATTCTTATTTTGACCTTGAATATGTCCTTTTAACTTAACCTAAATCTACTTTCTCACCTCTTACCTCTTGTCGTAAGAATAAGCGATAAGAAGACGTTATTTCAATTACGTCTTCTTATTGCTTAACCTAAATCCATAGAGAGAACTAATTATTTTCAATGTGTTTATACGTTAAGTGCTTGAAATTCTTGCAAGGCGTCCAACGCGTTGATAGAATAGCTAATAAAGGGAAGTCCTTCCACTTGATTGGTACCTAATTTTGTACCCTTGGCTGACCTAATGAGATGTCTTTGTGAGGCATTCAGTATGAAGTCTTGAGAAGATATGAGTTAATACTATCAGGGTACTCAAATGAGCTAAATAGTAACCTGAATTTCAAAATGCATCCATCCCAGCTTCATGTAATTGATGTATGCGCCCACTTACGCCACTTTTTCAAAAACCAAGTATGCGTCATTCACATGTATTCAAGACGCACAATTCGCGTAGACGGTGTAAATAACTACAACGAACTCTGAGGACTTTACGTAATTCGGCGTCTAATTCCAGTTGGTTCAGATGTCCAGATATTTAAGAATACAATTAGCTGGTGTCTCACCTGAGAATTTGTATCCAGAAAGTTGGTGATTGTAATGTTTTTGGAGGTATTTCAAGGCGATATTTCCTACATAAGCTCTCCCACTCTGAGTGAAGAACTTGAAGAGACGATATGGGTATCATCTGACTTAAACTGCTACAAAACTTCACCCCATGGAAAATATTCCGATGGCTTATAATCTTATAGTTTTCTCCTTTAATGACATAACATTTCTGTCGAGTGATTTCGTTTTAAGCAGTCACCTAGTTTTCGGTCAGTCCTCAAAATGAATTCCATTAGGGATGCAGTGTTGTTTGAAATCACGTCGTAGTTCTGAACACCAAATTCTGCTAGAAATGTTCGCTTGCCACAATTGTGTGTTTTTGGAAGCATTTGCTGAGACTCGTTCCTTATCTAAGAAAGCGGTTGTATTAACGCGGTGGTAGGTGATGTGAATCGTGTATGATAAGTGCAGAGTACTGTTGTGGATTTCGTTTGCACACCTAAACAATATGGATAAATTACAGTGGTTGATAGTGTTGTTTTCCACTTGATGTGTAACGTTCTTTGTTCTTTCGAGTGTCACTCTTGCAACACAATCAAAAGAGCTATGTTAAATAAAAATGGTTTGTAGCCAGAAGTGTCTTGTGGTAACTGTGTCATCATAAATAACCACAGATTTTTGAATACACATGTCTTATATTTTTAATTTTGCTAAAACTATTTCAGGTTTCTTATGAAACTGTCCCATGAGACTGTAACCATAGAACTGAAAAATGGGACTCAAGTTCATGGAAGCATTGCTGGAGTCGATGTGTCTATGAACACGCACTTGAGGTCCGTAACATTAACGCTGAAGAATCGGGATGCACTACACCTAGACACATTAACTGTCCGTGGAAATAATATACGGTATTTCATCCTGCCAGAAAGTCTTCCCTTGGACACGCTTCTCATTGACGAAGGGCCACCGAAAAGAAAACCTGGACGTGAAGGTAACATAGGTAGTTTATTTTTTCCTGGGAAATTCTTTGTGAGTCGGAATTATGGATTTTGCTATCATACTAAAACCAATGATTTGGTAGTTCGGGTTGTAATTGATTCATAGCGTTTCCGTGCAGTGTAAACTCTACATTTAGTTGATCTCTTCCTAGGGATAAAGATATGGCTTATAGGATTAATTATCTGAATTAGATCAACTATCAGCGTACCTTGGAAGTGTAGATAATGACTTGGTATACACACGTGCACAGGTGATGAAATTGAATTGTGGTAATCTTACCATTGAAATCGATGTGCTGTTTTTATTCTTCGTGCTCTGTCTCACTTGTAATATTATATGTTTGTTTCCAGAGCGTCCTGCCACTCGTGGCCGTAGTCGAGGTCTTATTCGTGGGCGTGGAGGTCCTCGGAGTCGTGGTCGTGGTCGCGGTCCACCAATGCGCTTCTAATATGTATATGTACAGTATATGTATGCTTTTGAAAATTTCAGACTATCTATTTTACAAATAAAAACCTTGTATAAATGATTTATTTTATTTATGGATTGTAATTAAACTTGAACTTGAAAAGAGGAGTACATATCTGGTTGATGAGTTGCGTAACTATACATCCATAGAGTCTGTTTTCAACAGTATTATGTATAATCGATATCGCTTTAAAATTCACAAACAAGAATCAAAATCTCGATCGATGAGATACACTTGTGTGTCAGGTTTCTCGATGACACGTTTGTCGTTCGTGATTGTTTCAAGTATTAAACATCGTGAATAGTGCTCACCGTAATGTAAAGTTTACAATGGAGTGTGAAGAGGAGGACACTGAACCTTAGCAACGAACGTGATAGAGATAGTGAAATCGTAAGGTACCTCTATAGAAGGGAGACCTGGAGGGTGACTTACCTGGACTTCAATAGCGTTTGTCTTCTAAGTTAGAAAAAGTGGTTGTTGAGAAGACTGTCTGATCGCGTAAGGAAGCTTTGTTCAAGGGAGAACTATCCACTGTTGAAAAATGCCTGCGTGATAATGGTTACCCACAGTTCATCGACAAACGTGGAAAACGTATTGTTGACACGTTGTGAGATGTGTGAAACTTGGGCACTGTGGCAGAGTATAACTCCATTGTGGATAAGATTTTATTTTGATAAATCACACAGTGTTGTACAGTAATATTAACTGACGACGTTTCGAGCACAGATTATTGCCACTCATAATCATATCAAGTTGATATCCATAACGAATTTACACGTTTTGACGCCTTCTATGACCTATGGAGATGGATTGGCCATACGCTGAGGAAACCATCAAGTGACATCACTAGACAAGCCCTCGAGTGGAACCCGAAAGGGAGGCGGCGAGTTGGTCGTCCAAGGGTGACTTGGAGAAGGTCATGCGAGGAGGATATGAAAGCATGTGGACAGACCTGGAGCGGGCTGAAAAAGTTGTCAGAAAACAGAAGGCAATGGAGGTGCGCAGCTGGAGCCCTATGTTCCTCTAGGAACTAAAGGATACAATAATAATAATGACCAAAAAGACTGCATTTCTCTTAAATACGGTAGTACATTAAACATGAAGTGTTATAGAAAAGCCTCAAGTCTGGGGTGGCTGTGGTTGTGTTTGCATCACGCACATTAGCTGGTAGTCTATTCGAAATGACTGAAAACTTATTTAGGAACTTGCACCGCATGTTAGTCTGTCAATTCTCTATAGCTGCTAGGCTGTCATGATTTCTAAGTTTTTAACTGATGACAGCAGTATACTTAGTTATTGTCCTGAAGGAGTGGAAAAGATTATTTAGCCTGTAATGAAGAATAAGGTTTAGCTTGAGACGTCTTTTCAGAGTGGTTCTAATCTCAGTTTGTCGTAACGCTGAGAGTAAACGAGACTACATTCTAAACCAAGAGTTCTTGAGGTAAATTGCCGTTGCACCCGCTCTACTTTAAGCTTGTCATTCTGTCGCAATCCGCTAAGAATAAACGGGCAGTATTCTGAAGTAGGTCGGACACATACTTTATATAATGAAACCCTAGTTTCACAACAAAAGAAATTGCGAGTTATGCATCCTAGGAGCCCGTATGTTTTTACGCATGGCATAGTCAGTTTGTTCGGAGAACGTTAAGTAACTGAAGTATCTGATAGCGAGATCTACGATTTAGTTGAGCTTGGCTAGTTTTCGCCCATTTATTTCAAGAGTTAGGTCAAGGTTACTGTTGCCAATACAAATCCAGCCGCATTTGTCAATATTAGACTTTGGACAGGATTCAGCACACCTTGTTGCGAGACCACTTAGTGCAAGATGTATTTTACTTACCATATCTCTTAATCCATGAGTGTAGCAGGAGTAGACGACTTTGAGGTCGTCAGCATATAGGAGTGGTTTACCTGAGGTGAAGCAATTACAAATGCTGTTAATGTAGACTGTAAATAAAAGGTGTTCCTAGGACACGACCTTGCACAACCCCACTTGTGATCTGCCTAGTATGAGACAATACTGACCCGACTTTGGTTATTTGTACCCTGTTGCTTAGAAATGATTCTAACCAGTTCAGTGATGGATTGCGAATTCCACAGCTTCTCAAAGGGAATACTGTGAGATACCATGTCAAATGTCCTAGATATATCGAAGTAGACTAGCTTCCGTGCTTCGCGACTGCTAGTGATGCAGTTGAAAAGTCGAAGCTGAAAGTAAAGTAGGATCTATTTTCGAGAAATCTGTGTTTAGACCTTGTAGAAATATCTTCCCTAAGTAGATAGTCAGATAATTGATCTTTGACAACTTTCTCCACGATTCCCGAGATAACAGGGGTTATATTTATGGGTCTGTAGCTGCGAACGTTTGCCTTATCACCAGATTTGTAGTGTGGAATTATAAAACTAGTTTTTCACTCAGGGTAAGTGCCAGTATCCACAGATATTGAGAAAAATTTAAGAAGTAATAGAGGAATATCACACCCACTGTTTTTGAAAATTATTGAAGCAAGGCCATCCGGTTCTGTGCTAGTAGCAGATCCAAGGATTTTAACTGCTTGTTCTATTAATTGATTGTTGAACACTATGCTCCCGAAGGAAGAGCTAGTAAAGGGGTGCGGTTTCAGCAGGGATGCGTGTTTCTAAACTAAAGTTCGCAAACGACTCACTGAAAATTTCACAGATGGTGGCAGGCTCACTGTAGATCACTTTGTCGTGAAGTAAATAGGGGATGTCCCTCGTCGACCGCATTCGTTTTTTAAGAAGTGTTGTTAGTTTTTAAACTTTGGAGGTACTTTAAAGTGTACTTAACTCTTCGTTGAAGTCCTTTTGTGAGAGTAGGCGCTTGATAGATTGAATGCAGTAGTGGTATATCCTTAGTGGAATAGTACTATTTCATCAACCTCCTTAACTTATTGCGGTATGCCCTTGAAATGTATTCAGCTTGGTGTCTACTTAATTTCACTACCTTCTTAGGAGCAACAGTATCTAGACAAACGGTAACATTCCTGTAAAATATGGACATTACAGCCTCCAGGGAGTCAGTGGTAAAATAGTCATCCCATTGATACAGTCGAGTAAGTTCTTGGACTGATCCCCACTCTATATGTTTGTAACTACGGCATATCATGCTCCCTGAATCTTGTTTGTTTCCTGTATTTAGTAATGAGAAAGGCAGAGAGCAGAGTAACATTCTATGGTGACTGCTGGAAAATCTGTTACCAACATAGGTGGAGACTGGTATTGTGTCGTGACAAAACACAAGGTCCAACATGTTGTCACTACGGGTAGGTGTCTGGACGTGTTGTTGCCATCCATAGCAATCAATAGTGGCAAGTAATTCGTCGGAGCATTGGAGGCCGGAACTACTTAATCCGTTGAAGTCTGGAAGATTGAAGTCCCCTGCAATTACTTTGTAATTAGTGTTAAACGAGGAGGCGTGTGCAAACGATTTATCTCATAACGCATCAGTTTCTTTGGTTGAACATGGTGCCCAATAGATACAGCCTCCATGTAAGACGACCCAGAGTGAATCAGGTACCGCATTCAGTATTTCATCTTACTGCCTACGAATGAGTTATGTATATATATGAGACATCCTCCACCACGCTTGCAATCTCTATTTGCACGGTGTACAGTGTAATCATCTCTATCTTTATGCACATTAAGTACAGGGGATGAGCACCATGATTCAGTTATCAGAGCTACAGTAGTCTTGGCGATTAATATTAATGTCCTTAGTTCAGATATCTTATTGATTAAGGAACGTGCATTAATCAGTAATATCGTGAATAAGTCACGGGATACTACAAATTGCCTTAAAATATCACCATAACCTAACTCTATTTGTGCATCAGCACCGGAAGTGTTTGTGAATGATATGGGGGTCGGACTGGGTGTTCACAAATCGGAGTTAAAGTGCGATGAGGTATCCCTAAGTGCCATGGGTCTTACCAGTGATTCGGGACACCTAAAAAATTTACTGTGTGGTCCTGGATATAAGGGTTGTAGATCAAAAGGCGTAGCATCAAAAGGTCTACCTATCAATCTGCTATTCGTCATACCGGTACACATCTTCGTGTTGTTTTTATAACTAGAAGAATATTGTGGAGAAGTTGCTCCGGTTGCAAGACGTTGAAGGTATTGGGGCCTGAGTTTCTATAAGGTGGAGTATGCTGAAAACCATCAAATATACTTGTGTTTCGAAAGGATTTCTTCATGTCAAATGTGGGTTTTCTGTCACGCTTACTCTCAGCAGGTTTATTGAATACAAAGTATTCTTCACCATCATTAGGCTCAATCCTGCGAAATTTGTTCACCATGGTGAGGTTACTACGTTTGGGTGAAAATTTCTTAGAACAACTTGCAGCAGTCCTAGTTATTTTAACATCTTTCGGGGAGGCCGTTTTTACAGGGATACTGATATCTAAATCAGTTCCTAGTTCCATTGGCAGGCGTGTTTGTTGTGTAGATTGCTGAATGCTACTGTCAGTACCAGGTGACTGTCGCTGTACAGGATCCACTTTTGGTAAATTTAAGCCTGAGTACGTGACCAGATTATTATTACGTATTATTCTGCACTGACAAGGTGTTTTATTCTGAGCTATGGTTACAGACATATAACTACTATTCAGTCTTAAGTGATCCTGAAATATAGTAGACTTACTAGTATCAAGAGAATTACTGAACTTATAAGTGATGGGACAATTAGCCTGGGTAGATTTTTACGAAATCTTTTGTATTCATATGGCACACTAGCCATGGCGCAACAATCCAGGATCTTGTGTTTTTGGTCTTCAGAGGCATTGAATCTGGTATGTTGTAAACTATAGCCTGGTGAAAAGAGGCTATACACTTCATCACCTCCGCAGCCAATCAGATTTTCAGCTTTATTTAGGTTGTCCGAGGACATTTTATGACTTCTTTTAAACAGACAGGCTATTGGGTCAAAATCTGCAAGCTTGTTTTGAGTTACTTCCAGCAGAGACTTAACCTGGCCAGTATCAGAACGGTTCTCCGTGATATTTGAGATTGGCAGTATCATGCCAGCAAACTGACCTAATTTTTCCTGAAGTTCACTTACTTGCCTCGGGATATCTTTCACAAGACGGCTTAATTTACAGAACTCACAGTTCTGTAATAGAACATCTTTCACCTGTATCACAGGAGTGAGAACTGCACTCGAGCCAATCTGTGAGCTAGTGGTTGATACTATATTACAGGGTGGTAATGCAATTAAAGCCGAACTTGAGACACTATCTAAAACGACTGCATTTATGAACGCGACTTTTAGAAATTTGGACCATAATTTTAAGGATTACATGCCACTAAGCTATTGGTGAATATCACAGAAACAAGGTCTAAACACAGATTTCTCGAAAATAGATCCTACTTTACTTTCAGCTTCGACTTTTCAACTGCATCACTAGCAGTCGCGAAGCACGGAAGCTAGTCTACTTCGATATATCTAGGACATTTGACATGGTATCTCACAGTATTCCCTTTGAGAAGCTGTGGAATTCGCAATCCATCACTGAACTGGTTAGAATCATTTCTAAGCAACAGGGTACAAATAACCAAAGTCGGGTCAGTATTGTCTCATACTAGGCAGATCACAAGTGGGGTTGTGCAAGGTCGTGTCCTAGGAACACCTTTTATTTACAGTCTACATTAACAGCATTTGTAATTGCTTCACCTCAGGTAAACCACTCCTATATGCTGACGACCTCAAAGTCGTCTACTCCTGCTACACTCATGGATTAAGAGATATGGTAAGTAAAATACATCTTGCACTAAGTGGTCTCGCAACAAGGTGTGCTGAATCCTGTCCAAAGTCTAATATTGACAAATGCGGCTGGATTTGTATTGGCAACAGTAACCTTGACCTAACTCTTGAAATAAATGGGCGAAAACTAGCCAAGCTCAACTAAATCGTAGATCTCGCTATCAGATACTTCAGTTACTTAACGTTCTCCGAACAAACTGACTATGCCATGCGTAAAAACATACGGGCTCCTAGGATGCATAACTCGCAATTTCTTTTGTTGTGAAACTAGGGTTTCATTATATAAAGTATGTGTCCGACCTACTTCAGAATACTGCCCGTTTATTCTTAGCGGATTGCGACAGAATGACAAGCTTAAAGTAGAGCGGGTGCAACGGCAATTTACCTCAAGAACTCTTGGTTTAGAATGTAGTCTCGTTTACTCTCAGCGTTACGACAAACTGAGATTAGAACCACTCTGAAAAGACGTCTCAAGCTAAACCTTATTCTTCATTACAGGCTAAATAATCTTTTCCACTCCTTCAGGACAATAACTAAGTATACTGCTGTCATCAGTTAAAAACTTAGAAATCATGACAGCCTAGCAGCTATAGAGAATTGACAGACTAACATGCGGTGCAAGTTCCTAAATAAGTTTTCAGTCATTTCGAATAGACTACCAGCTAATGTGCGTGATGCAAACACAACCACAGCCACCCCAGACTTGAGGCTTTTCTATAACACTTCATGTTTAATGTACTACCGTATTTAAGAGAAATGCAGTCTTTTTGGTCATTATTATTATTGTATCCTTTAGTTCCTAGAGGAACATAGGGCTCCAGCTGCGCACCTCCATTGCCTTCTGTTTTCTGACAACTTTTTCAGCCCGCTCCAGGTCTGTCCACATGCTTTCATATCCTCCTCGCATGACCTTCTCCAAGTCACCCTTGGACGACCAACTCGCCGCCTCCCTTTCGGGTTCCACTCGAGGGCTTGTCTAGTGATGTCACTTGATGGTTTCCTCAGCGTATGGCCAATCCATCTCCATAGGTCATAGAAGGCGTCAAAACGTGTAAATTCGTTATGGATATCAACTTGATATGATTATGAGTGGCAATAATCTGTGCTCGAAACGTCGTCAGTTAATATTACTGTACAACACTGTGTGGTTTATCAAAATAAAATCTTATCCACAATGGAGTTATACTCTGCCACAGTGCCCAAGTTTCACACATCTCACAACGTGTCAACAATACGTTTTCCACGTTTGTCGATGAACTGTGGGTAACCATTATCACGCAGGCATTTTTCAACAGTGGATAGTTCTCCCTTGAACAAAGCTTCCTTACGCGATCAGACAGTCTTCTCAACAACCACTTTTTCTAACTTAGAAGACAAACGCTATTGAAGTCCAGGTAAGTCACCCTCCAGGTCTCCCTTCTATAGAGGTACCTTACGATTTCACTATCTCTATCACGTTCGTTGCTAAGGTTCAGTGTCCTCTTCACACTCCATTGTAAACTTTACATTACGGTGAGCACTATTCACGATGTTTAATACTTGAAACAATCACGAACGACAAACGTGTCATCGAGAAACCTGACACACAAGTGTATCTCATCGATCGAGATTTTGATTCTTGTTTGTGAATTTTAAAGCGATATCGATTATACATAATACTGTTGAAAACAGACTCTATGGATGTATAGTTACGCAACTCATCAACCAGATATGTACTCCTCTTTTCAAGTTCAAGTTTAATTACAATCCATAAATAAAATAAATCATTTATACAAGGTTTTTATTTGTAAAATAGATAGTCTGAAATTTTCAAAAGCATACATATACTGTACATATACATATTAGAAGCGCATTGGTGGACCGCGACCACGACCACGACTCCGAGGACCTCCACGCCCACGAATAAGACCTCGACTACGGCCACGAGTGGCAGGACGCTCTGGAAACAAACATATAATATTACAAGTGAGACAGAGCACGAAGAATAAAAACAGCACATCGATTTCAATGGTAAGATTACCACAATTCAATTTCATCACCTGTGCACGTGTGTATACCAAGTCATTATCTACACTTCCAAGGTACGCTGATAGTTGATCTAATTCAGATAATTAATCCTATAAGCCATATCTTTATCCCTAGGAAGAGATCAACTAAATGTAGAGTTTACACTGCACGGAAACGCTATGAATCAATTACAACCCGAACTACCAAATCATTGGTTTTAGTATGATAGCAAAATCCATAATTCCGACTCACAAAGAATTTCCCAGGAAAAAATAAACTACCTATGTTACCTTCACGTCCAGGTTTTCTTTTCGGTGGCCCTTCGTCAATGAGAAGCGTGTCCAAGGGAAGACTTTCTGGCAGGATGAAATACCGTATATTATTTCCACGGACAGTTAATGTGTCTAGGTGTAGTGCATCCCGATTCTTCAGCGTTAATGTTACGGACCTCAAGTGCGTGTTCATAGACACATCGACTCCAGCAATGCTTCCATGAACTTGAGTCCCATTTTTCAGTTCTATGGTTACAGTCTCATGGGACAGTTTCATAAGAAACCTGAAATAGTTTTAGCAAAATTAAAAATATAAGACATGTGTATTCAAAAATCTGTGGTTATTTATGATGACACAGTTACCACAAGACACTTCTGGCTACAAACCATTTTTATTTAACATAGCTCTTTTGATTGTGTTGCAAGAGTGACACTCGAAAGAACAAAGAACGTTACACATCAAGTGGAAAACAACACTATCAACCACTGTAATTTATCCATATTGTTTAGGTGTGCAAACGAAATCCACAACAGTACTCTGCACTTATCATACACGATTCACATCACCTACCACCGCGTTAATACAACCGCTTTCTTAGATAAGGAACGAGTCTCAGCAAATGCTTCCAAAAACACACAATTGTGGCAAGCGAACATTTCTAGCAGAATTTGGTGTTCAGAACTACGACGTGATTTCAAACAACACTGCATCCCTAATGGAATTCATTTTGAGGACTGACCGAAAACTAGGTGACTGCTTAAAACGAAATCACTCGACAGAAATGTTATGTCATTAAAGGAGAAAACTATAAGATTATAAGCCATCGGAATATTTTCCATGGGGTGAAGTTTTGTAGCAGTTTAAGTCAGATGATACCCATATCGTCTCTTCAAGTTCTTCACTCAGAGTGGGAGAGCTTATGTAGGAAATATCGCCTTGAAATACCTCCAAAAACATTACAATCACCAACTTTCTGGATACAAATTCTCAGGTGAGACACCAGCTAATTGTATTCTTAAATATCTGGACATCTGAACCAACTGGAATTAGACGCCGAATTACGTAAAGTCCTCAGAGTTCGTTGTAGTTATTTACACCGTCTACGCGAATTGTGCGTCTTGAATACATGTGAATGACGCATACTTGGTTTTTGAAAAAGTGGCGTAAGTGGGCGCATACATCAATTACATGAAGCTGGGATGGATGCATTTTGAAATTCAGGTTACTATTTAGCTCATTTGAGTACCCTGATAGTATTAACTCATATCTTCTCAAGACTTCATACTGAATGCCTCACAAAGACATCTCATTAGGTCAGCCAAGGGTACAAAATTAGGTACTAATCAAGTGGAAGGACCTCCCTTTAACAGCTATTTTATCAAAATGTTAGACGCTTTGAAAGAATTTCATACACGTAACTATCTCATAAAACACCTTGGATTAGTAATGAAATAAGGAGGTTATTAAGAAAACGAAAGAGCTCATGGGACCGGTTTGCTGTGACTGGGAGTAATGGGTTTCGGATGGAATACTGCAAAGTATAATATTGACAAGTCCTATAGAGTATGACAGAGTTAGTACTGGATTGTGTACATTATCCGAAAAGACTATACTCGTATATCAAACGCAGGACTAAAACTAGCAATGGTATACCGTCCCTTATTAGCAACACTGGAGAGGCTGCCGAGTCAGACGAAACAAAAGCTGAGAAGCTCTCCCAATACTTTCGTGATGTTTTCTCTCCTAATCGTACCACTTAGGTGTACTGATGTAGCCCTAAAATCCCCCAAATTGCGGTAAATGATGCAGTGATTCACAAACTACTGTCTAAGCTGAAGTTAGGTAAATCAGCTGGACCAGATGGACTACACCCTAGATCGCTGATCTCCTTAGTGGTTATAATATATATTCCACTTACGAAGATTTTTCAGATGTCTCTGACCCAGGCTAGGCTACCAAGGGCCTGGAAAGATGCTTTTGTAAGCGCCATCTTCAAAGATGGGACTGGCAGTTAGTATCTAACTACCGGCCTGTAAGTCTGACCTGCATTATAGCAAAGGTGTTAGAAACACTCATAAGGGATCAGCTCTTAGCTCTTATAAAAAAACGGCCTTCTGGCAGTGGAAAAGCATGGATTCCGACCAGGACAATCCTGCTTGACAAACTTACTGTTAGCTAGAGGAAGATTGGGTCGAGGCCAAGGACAAAAACCATCTACTGGACGTTCTTTATTTATCTTAGTAAAGCATCCGATAAGGTATCCCATTTAGGTCGTCTAAGTAAACTCAAACGTTTTGGATTACACCAACGCTCATGTGAGTGGCTTAGTGACTAACTGATGGATAGGAGACAGAAGGTAAGGGATAAGGGTGTACTGTCAGGGCGGAAAGCAGTACTAATTGGAGTACCTCAGGGAACTGTACTTGGCCCCCTGCTATTCCTATTGTACGTAAGTGAAGTGCCGAAAATTCTTACATCATTTTCCTTACTATTTACGGACGATATTGAGATATGGAAAACCGTAAATAATAAAGATGATTGATTGGTACTACAAAATGATCTAGACAAATTAGCCTAATGGGTTAACCCTTGGAGTCAGGAAATTTATTCCAGGAAAAGCGCGGTAATGCACCTAGGTAAGAAGTATTACACGTCGTACTCCATGGGGGACACAGAACTGACAGATGTTAGGGGACAAAAGAAGTTAGGAATTATTGTAAGCCATGGCTTAAAAACAATGGCAAATTGTAATCGAGTCGCATCTAGGGCTTTTAGAATGCGATGGGCACTTCGAGGGGCTTTACAGCGATTAGACGAGGGTATGCTCCGAGTGCTCTATGCAAGATATGTCAGGCCTCATCTAGAATACAAGTGGCGAGTCCATGCTTCAAAAAAGAGGCACATATCCTGGAAAGAGTAGAGAGAGGAGGAACAAAATTAGTTAGTTAAATCTGTTCCCGTTATTATACCGAAGGAAGAGAGGCGACTTGATTTTAGCATACCACATACTTAAGGGTGATTTAGGAACTGATCTTTCTAATTTTCTCTCCCCTTCTAGGATACATTTACGGGGTCACCTCAAATAGGTGCTCAAACCAAGGACGATTAAAATACGTGCAGAATTTAGATTCTCTCACAGAGTGGTCAACGACTGGAACTCCTTACCTGATTCAGTAGTATCAGCTCCATCGGTGAACGCTTTCAAAGAGAAGTTAGATCTCTGCAGAGGAATATTTTGCAAAGATTAACACAGGCCGTAAGAGCCTCCTATCCTTATAATCTGTATATAAACATATGCTTATATAATCATAGCTATGCTCTAGAGCATTGCAATAGACAATAGTCCTAATTCTAAACGCGAAAAAAAAGAAAACAACCCACCTCACAAGCTTCATTCTTTCAATGACTGCTCTATGACCCAGACAAACAAACCCTTATGTTCAATGACGTTACAACGACCTAGACCTTGAGTAAACCAAATCGATCTCCAATATCCAGTATCCAATATCGTTTTTACGAGCTAGCATAGACCAATTTGATTTCTTTGTGCTCGCTTCTTGATTGTGTGGTAAAGTTTCATGATCTTTGGTAAACTTCTGTATAGCTCGTTCTGCCACTGGACTGTCGTAACTTTGGTTGACTCCGAAAAGAGTAGAGCTGGGATTAAATGTTAGATGTTGTCTGTAGTATGAAGTGTGTTAAGACTGTTACTACTGTGAAAAAAAGTTGATCCTTTCACCAATTAGTCCTCCGGTATCGCGGTCAAAATAAAAGAGATAATAATCGATATAATTAGTGTAGGTTATTCAAACTGACAGACAGAAAAAGAAATAAAGAAAACGTAAAACAGGCAGCTGATTAAATTTAAAGTTTATATATATAATCAGTGGTAATAGTAAGTGTATTAGTTGGAGTTGTCAGGAGAGTAAGACCGGAGGGAATGTGAAGAAGTAAAACGACGAACTTAGTTGTCTACCCCTGAATGGTGTATGGGATTTTAAGGCGATAGGCCATTTGGACGCAGTCCTTGTGTCGTCGCATGATTTACCAGTCTTCGCTTAAGGGTGTCTACAGGTGGTACCATAGCTACACCTGCCGTTAGGGAATTCCAGGGACGGCAAACCCTCAGTGAATAGCTGTGGAAGAGCACCCGGGTCCTTGCCCTCTGGCGAGCTATCCTTCTGGGATTTCCTCGATGGAGCCTGTATCTACTCAATGGCAGAAGACATTCGTTTGGGTGATTCTGGTCATTTGTTATTTTGTAGGCAGTAATCAAATCCCCCCAAATGCCGACGGTAGCAAAGTGTGAATAGGCCCAATTTCTTTAGCCATTCATCATATGGTTTATTTCGGAGACCAGCCACTCTTTTTGTCGCTCATCTTTGGACTCTTTCCAAGAGGTTGGCGTCTCTTCAAATCAGTGTAGGTGCAGCAATATTATGCACTTCAAGGTGTCGTCTGACGTATGTTTCGTACAACCTCAGAAAGAGCTCAGGAGTGCACCTAACTGTCTATGTGTAAAGTGTATGACCGCATATACCCTCGCTACATCTCCTCTGTAATCTACGCTTGTGCCCATTTTTTCTGCTAGGACTAGACCTAGATCACACTCTGAGGCTGTGCAGGACAAGCTTTTATTGCATAAGGTGTAACTTACATTCTGCAGCCTAAAGCTGCGTAACTTTACTACTTTGAACTTTTCAGGTTTAAAATCATGCCACTGGCCACCACCCGGTCTTCCAGAAGCTTTAGATCTGCCTGCAATCTATCTGAGTCCTCTGGGCACTTTATCAGCCTCCATATCTCTACGTCATCATAGTATAGAAGAGTTTGGCAGCTTAGACGGCATGGTAGATCACTGACAAAAATCAAAAACATCAGCGGTTCTAGGATAGAACCCTGCGACACTCTTGATGACGAGCCGTGGGAAGATGGTTAGACTCGACTGACCTGTGTGCAAAATCTCCTTCCAGCTAGGTAGTCCTTTTACCCTGCTAGAAGTGGCTTACCTATACCTGCCTGGCTTATTTTGTGTAGGAGGTCATGGCAAACTGTTTCAAATGCCTTCTCAAAGTCTGGGAAGACCACATGGACTGGAACATTCACATCCCAGCATGATTTCCAATCGTTCCTAACTGATAGTAGGATTGCCACACCGGATCTGTCTTTCCTGAAACCGAGTTGGGCTCGATGGAGTCTATCGGTCCTATTGGGGTGCTCCTTGATGGGATCTTTAATAATACTTTCCAGTAGTTTTGATACCACTGGGAGTAAAGCTACTGGTCTAGTGGCATTTTGCCTACCCACACTCCTGAAGATCGGAGAAAGGATGGCTCTTTTCCATTCCCTTGGCAGTTTCCCCGAATCCATCGGGCATTGGAGCAAGTCGCATAATGGCCTACAGAGGGCTTCGACACACTGCTTCAGAACAGGTCGTCTGATGTCGTCACAACCTGTGGAATCCCCTGGTGTGAGTCTCTGTAGCTTCCCTAGCACTATTGCCGGGTTTATTTGGGAGTAGCCACCAGGTCTTCCTTTGGCGAGGTGGTAGTGTCGCCATTCTGTCACTCCTGACTCGCGTTGCACCGGTTCCTGAGTTCCAGATATGCGTTGTGGTCGGTCTGACTCTTGGATACTCGCCATGTAGACTAAGCCTTCCGCCTTGCTTGGAGAAAACGTTGTGTACCCCTCTTCAGACATGATAACATTCGTTTGGGCTGCGTTGTGACTAAAGAGGCAGTATCCGAGCCTCTGGATTTCAGCATAGGCAGCCTTGTTGTAGCACAGACATGGTCGCGTAACGCCGCACTGCCAGCGCTCACGGTGAACAGGATATAATCCTATGACTGAATCGTCACTACTTCCTATAGGAGTCATGATCTGGACCTTTTTGACGGGTAGTTGGTCACTAGTTAGAATGTAGTCTAGTTTTGATGACTTTCCACTAGGGCCCCACCTATTGTCATCTCCAACACTCTCAGTTAGTCTCGTATTTCTAATGGTTTGGAGTAGATTTCGATCGAATATTCCCTGAGCATACCCCGAGCCAAGGCTCAGTGATGGGGCATTAAGATCTCTAGTTATGATAATTTGGTCATAGCCCAAGTCCCGTGTCCATGTGATGGCGCTGAGCAGCAGCTTGTTGTGCTCTGCCCCGCAGGTGGGTGATCGGTAGATGTCACTGAGTAAGTGCTTGGTGTGGCCTTCGGTGAAATGACGTCATATGGGGTCTGGGAGTTCAATAAGTGGTGGGCCCGTTGCGTGTATACACTATTATTATTCCTGTCTCTCCTGACCAGAACAATATCACCTATACCGGTTTCGGCGATAGTGTGGGTTAGCCAGGCTGCAGTTAGAATGATTATTTTAAGCAGCTGACAGTGAGTCTCACAACCTGAGCGTGTCGTGGGGTATTTGATGCTACTTTGTATGCTGGTAGGGGACTTAATATTGGGACTAGTTGGCCGATTCCAAAGGAACCGGCCCGTTGCCGTTTTTTCCTTGGATTCGGGTAGGACACTTGGGTGACAATGACTGTAATTCCCAGTACCGCGTCACTCTAGTGTCACTGAGGCTTGAGGGCGTATTAAGGCCAAGTTTGCTGCCTTCTTATGGTTCGAAGTCTGCTTTCGCAGCATCGTACGTGTCCTCCGATTTTCCATTTGGTCTCGTACCACCGTTGAAGTACTATGGCCAACTGGTCCTGGGAGTTAAATGTGACACTTAGCAGCCTTGGAGATCAGTGCGAGATGAGTGGAGCGAGGTAGTTGGAAAATGAAGATTGCTCCAGAAGCGCCAAGGGCCATCTGAGATGACAGCCATCTCCATTGCTGTACGTCATGCATGTTTTTTTCACAAGCAGTGCCAGTTTCCAGCTCCGGAACACCGTGTATGACAATAGAGGTAGAAGGCATCAATTCCTGTGGCTCACTAGCCGTTCGCCTGTTAGCCCATGGTCTATCATGTCTCACTCTTATGCTAGAACCCCTGTCGATGGCTAGTACCTGGCCAGTAATAATATCCCTTCTGCCTCTTCGGCAGAAGCCAGTGTAACCCTTAATGGGGATTGCTTATCCTGAGATATGTGGACACTCCTGTACACCCTGCAGTTTCACTGAAAAATGTTCAGACCTAATTTACTACACAAGTTGGACCACTGTCTTTGATCAAACAGGGTCCGTTGTTCAAGCAAGCTATCCTTGCTCACAGGTACATTAAAAAGAATAAGGGAGTTAGACCAACTGACCTCAGACTTAGGTTTAGCTTTTGGCTGCTTGTATTTCTTGCAGGGTGAGTAACTTTAGACTTCAACAGGTTTTGACCAGCCTTTACCAGTGGATGCAAGTAGTGCTTTGGCAATTATATCTTTCCCTATTAGTTTGTTTATTAGACGTATCACACTGTGAAACAGTATTATTTACTCGATAACTATGTTTTGGAAACAATTTATTGTTCATAATCATATCAGTTATGATCACACGACTTCGAAACTTGAGTTTTATAGTTTTCTTTCTCCTGTCCTATTTGTCGTAGGGGTAGCAGAATTTTCCAGATATCTGGACAAAGAAAACTGTAAAACTCAAGTTTCGAAGTTGTGTGATTATAATTGATATGATTATGAACAACAAATTTTGCTCGAAACGTCATCCAGCAAATAATACTGTTTCAATGTGTGATGCGTCTAATAAACAAACTAATATGAAATTATTTACTACTAAGTACCCAAGTTTTACATGTATATTTATGTCTTTCCTTGGTGTTGTAGGTGCAACCTTGGAAGTCAGTTGGACTGCAGTATCCTTCTTACTGCCTGTACCAAGTTTTGGTAGTGTGGTGTTGGCAGGTGGGGAGCTGCATGAGACTGTGTCGAGACAGAAGAGCGGCGTGCTATTTCTGCTATCCGCAGACACGCTGTGTGGGACTGTGCCAGGACGATAAAGTGGACAGATGTACCAGAACCATGGGCATAGATTATTTCGCATAAAGTCACAGTATGATTTTGGCGCCCCTTCATCTCAATGGCAGTATACCCATCGTTTGCAAAAATTGCATTCAAATGCTGAATCAATTTTAGAAACGATAACACTATAGGCCTGACATTCGTCTCCCTTCCTTGATGACGCTTTCGAGGTCTTTTTACGTCTTGAGCGTGTCTCTTTGTTTTGCCGTGTTTCAAGCAGTGGCTTGCAAGGGATACAGGTGTAATATCATGTCCACTTGGTATTGCCTGCGCCGCTTCAGCGGTAGATTGTGGCGATGCAGGCGTAGCGTCAGAACAGGCGAGACGTACACAAGTCTTTAGCATGGGTATGCGAGATGGGGTTGATGTCCCTGGGTTATTGCACCCTCCGTCTGAAGCATTTGTGACTACAGAATATGGGGATTAAGTGTTTTT